TGATTTTTCATTGCACATAGAGCAAGAGGTAGTTTTCATGAAGAGTTGAATTTCCTACTTCAAATGCTGTGACCCTAATCCTGTTTCTAATGTGTGTAGTGTTCGGATATCTCTCAAGTATGCAGTGCAATAATGTTCACAGGAAACAGTTTCCCCTAAGTGTATGCGGTTTTTTAGTCTTGTTTGCCCGAATGCTTGGCGTATTTACACCGTCGTCATGAGGGGCTATGGTAGTTTAGCCTTTATGCTCATTCAGGAATTGTTCTTTGAAACGGCTTCATGGGTAGTCTAGCAAAATTGTGCCGAGTTAGGTCAAATTCATGAGTAATGTCTGTTGAAATAACTTTTCGTCTGATGGAACTGCTATTTCCTATTTCAGGTTATCAATTTGAATTGCGTTTATGGAGTAGACCTTGAGCAAAACTGAGGATAGGCTTTCGTTAGATGAAAGAGCCCGCAAATAAGTGGTTTTATACAGCTTGCCATAAGCAAGTGTTACCTTCCTATACAGTCGGCTGTTACAATGTAATTACATCTCCGTCCCCTAGAGTGCAATTCCCTAGAACAGTCGTCTTTATATAAATGACTTCCTTTTTTTCATTTCATTATTCCGAAAAGTGTGGGAAGTGTTCTTCAAAAGGTTAGCATATAGAATGATTGTCGTTTTCAGTCTGCGTGTTAGGCTGCGAAAAGTTCGCGGCGCAGAATGGCTGATTCTTGATAGGTGACATTTTCACTTGCGTTGACCTTAAAAGTCATCCTTCCCGTTCCCTACTTAACACTCGGTACAACGAATGTGTCAGAAACTGACATGTTCACCTTATTTTTCTTTTTACCTGATTGGATAGGTTTTAAGAGAATTGAAGAATAAGGTCCATACATTTCTAAAAGTGAAGTACAGTCAAATATACATAAATCTTGATATGCGGTGACCAACATGGATATTGTTGTCAGAGCACAGTAAATTTGCTCATTGAAAATTGAAAATAATCGTCAGAAGTGATGTGGTATAAATAACCATGCAGTCCAAGTTGGAGTATCGTCATTTCGAACCTTGTTGTATACGTTTGGATTACAACCACTAGAACTTTTGTTTTGTTTCCTCTATTGATCTAGCTATCTACAGCGACATCACACGATCGTAAAACATAGTCGAAGTGTCAAGCGCTAAATTGAGGATTAGGGTTAATGAGATCGCTCACTGGTCAAAATGAGATTTTTTATATGAGAAAAAATGAGATCTTTCATAGTAAAATTGTTCCGATAAGAAGGGTGTTCTTTGAAGTGGCTCCTTGTTGCACAAGAATGATCGCTGTCGAAGCGTTCACGGTTCGGAGGCAGGCTTTATCTGGTCCCGATTAGCCTTCCCTCTTTGATCGAAGGTACGTTTGCTGCGGTGGTCATCGATCGTTTGCCGAAATATCTATTCAAAACTTAACTTTTCAACATAGATATCAATATTCGTCGACCAAGCGTACTACCGCATTTGAAAGTGGCATGGATCCATGCCACGGTGATTACATAGAACTCCTAGGGATTGTTTAAATAATTTGGAATTGCAAATTTGTAAATATACGCAGTGCGTTAGGAGACTGTATTCATCCAGATCGAGTGATTCCGTATCTTAGTCACATTTGAACAATTCATAATTGCACCTTTGTATATTTTCGTTGTAAATGTAGATCACTTGAGCTCATACCAGATTCAGATAGTTTATGTGTTTACCCTCTTTCTGTTGCAGCTTAAGCGTTTACGAATTTTGGTGATACGCTTTTTCCATGCACATTTGTTTAAGCCGATTAGGTATGATTCACTCCATATCGAATTTCGGCGAATCGCCCCGTATGCTAAGAATGGTGCGTTGTGTTTGTCCTACGAAAAGGGGAATGGGAACTATCGAACCCGTCTAGCAATAGAAGTTCTTGAAGTTGCAAAGAGAATCTTTGAAAACGAATTGCGACTCGTCGTCTCCTTGTCATTTTTTCTGTCAAGACTAGCTCTGGGAGTCTATCTGGGAGTTCGAGATTCTGATTTTTTTGTTTCGGATTCCAAATAATCAAAACACAACAAAGTAATGAGCGCTTAAACTCCGTTGTGAAGCTCAATATATTCAGGTGCGCGTACCGCACGTCAATGGAGCACCTGCTGGCGCCGCGCCAAGTCCTGGACAGGATGACGACGATCTCGCCAATGAAACGCTATTTTTCGAGCGTAATCGTATCAAACAACTGCAAGATGAGCGTGTTCATATCCAAAAGAAGACATTCACGAAGTGGTGCAACTCCTTTCTGAATCGGGTGAGTATTTCCGGGTGCAACTATTCTGTTTAATGAAGTCAGTAATGTTTTCTTCCCGTGGATGGATTTCTTCGCTGATATACTATTTACCAAGGGAGCCTTTAGAGTTGTAGAGAAACAC